AATGCAGAATTAATTTATCCTTATCGCCTTATTAAGTTATTGGTTTTGGTTTTAGACTTTTAGCTTATTCAATTTCTGCTTTTGTGAATCAGTGGACAGTGAATCTGAATGTCAGAACTCAGAAATCAGAATGTGAATTTGTTTAGTTTATGAATGTGAGCAAACGAGCAGTGTCTCAAACTCTCAATTTGTCTCAATTTATATCAATTATATGAATGTGAGCATTGAGCAATAATGTGAGGGTTGTGAGCAGTGAGTTTAGTGAGTATACCTAGATTTTATTGGTGTTGCCGTAATTTTCCTGCTATGAAGTTAATCAAGACATTTTAACGCAACCCGATGAGTGATGATTAATTACATGATTGCTTAGTGTTGTATGTTGAAAAAGATATTTTTGATCAAGTTTCAAATGAAGCAATTGTACAACGATTTTAAAATATGAGAGAGCGTAGAGGAGTATTATCCCGTAGTTCATCATAAACTTTGTATTGTAATTTATAATGTATTTTGTATTTTAGCAATCTTATTTGTATTTGATATTTCCTACTTGAACAATTTTGAAGTCATTTTACCTTTGCTTCTTCGACCCCCCTCCCCCCCCCCCACCTCTCCCCCCCCCCCCCCCCCCCAAAAAAAAAAAAAAAAAATCATGGCTCTGTCCCTGCCGGTTACCATTTCAAATGGATGGTCATAGGTTTGAACTCCGGTGGTGGGGGTAAGATTCTTTGGGCTGAAAATGTTTGAGAAAGTAATGAGATTTAATTTCTATACTAGATATAGTTTTTTTTTTTTTTTTTTTTTTTTTTTGCAAATTCTTAAACCGATAAATTCCCTATGCTTTTGGCATTAAGGAGAAGTGTAAGTAGGGATGACAATGTATCGGGTGTGGGTCGGGGAGGACTACATCCATCACCCGACCCCCCTTATATCTTCTCCACCCACCCCCACCCCCACCCCAACCGGGTGCGGGTGCCCACTACGGGTACCTACTACTTATCATCTTATATGTTTTTCAAAAAAAAATATTTAAATTACTTACACATAATAAAATAATAAAATTCATTAGTGATACTAAAACATAAAATAATAGAAATATTTAAATATAATAACTAAATTGTTAATTTTTAAAAATAAACTTAGGGGGGTGTATTCAATCATGACTTTCATAGAGTTTTAAAGACTTTTATGAACTTTAGAAGTTTGGAGGTATTCAATTCAAACTTTTAGAGAGTCTTTAAAAGTCAGGCTGTATTCAATCAAGATTTTTAAAGAGTCTTTAAAAATCATGTGGTATTCGATTAAGACTTTTAAAGAGTCTTTAAAAGTCATGTGGTATTCAAAAAGTGATGAACTTTTGTAGACTTTTTAATTTTAAGACTTTTGTAGACTTTTCATTCTCAAATATAAATAGTTGAAATCCAACCATCAACCCCAAGATTTCAAATTTTCTTTCTAACAACTTTGAATGTTTTCTCTCTCTATTTAAACTCTTTTTTTCTCCCTATTTAAACTCTATAAACCTATCTAAATTCAATAAAATTATTTTTTTCTTCATTATTCTATATTTTCCTCGTACATAAACTCTACCAATTTTCTCTCTCTTCTAAACTTTAGAACCTTCATCTAAAAATTTGAAATAATATTATTTTTACTTCATTATTGCTTATTTATATTGATTTTTTATTTTTTTCTATGATTTTTTTATCCCTAACTTTCTCTAATTCTCCCTAAATACATGAACAAAGCAAATTTTTCATCGTCAAATTTTAGTATATGTTTCATAATATTCATATAAATACTTATATATTTTAATTTTTATTATTTTTATGTTTATATTCGTAATATATATTTTTCATCTTTTTAACAACAAGTTACTACGAATAGCGAATTATTGTTCGCAACAACAATTTGGGGTTGCAAACAGTAGCACCTTGTTGTTGTTTGCAGTCTCAAATTGTTATTGCAAATAATAATTTTTTACGTGATGCCTAGCAATATATCAAATATAATTTTATATATATTATTAATACTAGATTTTTATTTTTCTATTTTATGCAACTTATAATTATATTTTTAAATATTTTATTTGATCAAGTCTTTTATTATAAATTTTATTCTTCAATATTGTTATGAATTTATAATAAATTTTTTTTTTGTTGATGTTTGTTAATAATATATATATAAGTAATTAGCATACTAGGATAAAAATAATAATGTTGAGAATATAATGTTGATGTGGGTGAAGAACTATATAATAAGAAGAATTTTATGATATATTATAAATGTTTTGTAAGAAAATTGTAAATGATAAGAATCAAAATAATTGAAAGTTTGTAAGGATGTATTAAATTTAGAATTTCAATGACTTTTGTAGACTTTTTAAAATAAAAAGTTGATAAAAGTCTATGGATGTTTTTTATATAGACTTTTATAGAGTCTTATAAAGTTTTAAAAAGTTTTGAACAACTCTATGAAAGTCAATCAAAGTTTATTAAAATTTATCATTTTAAAAGTCTTTAAAACTCTACAAAAGTCATGATTGAATACACCCCTCTTAGTAGTTTAGATATAAAAAATAGTAAAAAGATACACGAAGTTATATAAACTATTATAAATAACTACATACTAGTACTTATTTTACTATTATATATATATACACACACACATGGTGGGTCGGGTGGGATTATAGGCGGGTTTTGTACATAGAACCCGAATCCAATCCGACTCATCGCGGATTTACTTTTTTAAAACCCACCCCCAACTCATCACCCACCATCACCTAAAAAAACTCGATCCATGCGGGATGGATTCGGGTGGATATCCATGGAGCAGATTGAAATTGTCATCCTTAAGTGTAAGTTTGGGCACTAATTTCTTAAAGCACATTTATAATTGTGGGGGGTGAATAGTGGATGACAAATCATGTGAGGGAGTCATAAGATGTAGAAAAATATGATTAGGATAATACCAATCCCAATTATATTTACCAAATATCTTTAATATCCATGATAATAATGACTTATTATATATATATATATATATATATATATATATGGTGAATAGTATGCGGCTAATGAAAAATCATGTGAGGGAGAAAAATATGATTACGATCATACCAATTCCAATTATATGATTTTGAGAGATTAATGTGGACCCCCACACTTCGACCCTACAAGGCATTTGAGAGAGTATAAATCATGGTAACTCAACCGAACATGAACCACAGAAGCTAAACCTTTGCTCAGTGCCCACAAAGAATCCCCCTCACTACCGCTAGTGAGACTCAATCCCCTGATCATTCTTCCATAATTTCACTTCTATGACCAGTTGAACTGCCGATGCGGGTTGGTTATCTATTTTCGTATATCATAAGAATGCAGTCTATTGGTGCTTCACGGTGTCCCTCGGCATAGGAATTAGTGGACGACAATTTCACAAAAAAAAAAAAAAAAAAAAAAAAAAAAAAAGAAATTTCATCGGCGGCCACAACTATCGACCAAACCAAGGATAAAAGTTGGGCGACTGCAAAGCCCAACATGGCCCGGGGCACCAATCATCCCGGCAGTTGGAGGAATAAAACAAGAGATCGCAGAACCAAAAAAGGTAGTCGATATAGACTGTTCAGAAGAGACTATCTCGTCTCCTTTTTATCAAGAAAGAGGTTTAATAGTGATTTTTAGAGATGATACATGTCTATCCGTTTGTGGCGACAATGCCTCGGTCAGTAAAGTTGATCATCACGATGATTCGGAGACCAGGTAATATAATATAGGCTAAAGTGTCATCTAGCACCATGAACTATATTCAATTATTCATCTCGCACCCTGAACTTTCATATCGCATATATCAAGCCACAATATACATTCAATATGTGAAACATGTTTTTCAGTTTCATGTTATATATACTGTAATTTCATTTCAACACAACTAAAGTACCATTTCAATTCAACTACAATTTCATTTGATAATATATACTCAATATGTAAGACATATTATCCAATTTCATTTTAGATACACTATAATTTTATTTTATTTTGAACACATCATAAATACAGAATTTTTGTTAAATATAACGGTCACCATTTCTTTAATAATTTACTTAAAGAAACAACGTCGTTTTTGGACCAAGGTCCACACAACTATGTGAACCATGGTCCACCGTATAACAACTGTTAACTAACTGCACATAATTTTAACTATAGACAAATAATCTTATAGGTCAGGGTCCACAATGCAAAGTGAACTCTTGTCCATGGTATAACTTAAGTTCTACTACATATGCACTTTATTTCTACTCCCTAACTTTTACTCCCTCATGTAGTAATTGATGATTAGTTATCTTCATTTTGTGGGTCCCAATGAAAATGTCAACATCAAAATTTTATGAGGGAGTAAAAATTTGAGAGTAACAGTAGTGTCTTCTGTATAATTGAGTTCTACTATATATACTCCTAACTTCTACTCCCTCACTTTTACTCACTGATATGGCAATTGATGAACCCCATGTCAGTGTGTAAAAAATTTCAATTAATGTGGCTGTGTAAACTCCTAGTAATATTTCAATAGCCATACCACAAGTCCACAAACATTAAATACCAGATTACCCAACAGGTTTTTTGGAATTCAACCTTGCGGGGATAATGCAAAGAAAGAGATGAAGCTCAATCCCAAAATACTACTAACAAATGAACTCCATGGGAATGGAATTGGGTTTGCTTTAGTGTAAAGGTTATGGCAGCTAGAAAATTATTACAGGCAGGCAGAAAACTAAGATATATAGCATCCAAAATTCAGACCTGATTACCACAACAGGATTATGCTTCAGTCTACAAACACAGTCCATAGACTAAAAGTGCAAAATCCATTTGCAAATCATTGTTAACAAGCCAGCATTCTTGAGCCAAACCAACACTTAAAAGCCCCTAGTCACAATAATGTTTGGTTGGCAAACACAGACCCACAGAAGGAAGAAAACTTAATCTTACATGTAACCCAACTAGCTGCATAAATGTAACGGAGTTTTTTTTTTCCGACAAATAAAATGGATTCCTAGAAGTGTTACAGTTCAAACAAGAAATTTGACCTAAATACAGCTGGCTGCTTAGACTTCTATAAAGACCTAATTTAATTAGAGATGGAGAACCAGCAATCCTATTGAACATTAATCAAATCAATCTTAACAATATACTTCCATCAGACTTGGCAGATATGCAACTCAATAAGAATCCACAAGGACCACGGAATATCAATTTCAGTTAATACAAAAGTTGACACCATAATAAGGTAAGAGTAAACTCAATAACTGCTGCAACATGACCGACTGTGAGACACACTGAGCAATGCTGGACGACAACTCTGGACCTTCCCAACCATTAAAACATGCCCTAGTACTCACTGGAACAGTAGACAAATGTGAATTAATAAACGCAAACATACAGACAAAAGAAAACAAAACAGACACAAATGTGCTAGGAAATTTACTGAACAAAATAAAACTGGAGGGAAAGGGGCATCGGAGAGAATAACTGAAAATGGGTGGTTCCCATGAATGAGTAAATGAAAAAGAGAAGTTTAATCCGTATATTCAACTGTATGAGAAGTACACAGATGGCTGACAAACTTCCTGAAAGAGCTAAGCCTAAGCATATGGTTGTATGAAATAAATGTATCACACAACAGACCTGATCATTTTCATCTGTTGGTTGTGGAGGAGACTCTTTTGGCTCGGATGGTTTTTCAGCACCACAGTTTGGTCTATTACACTTGGTCCTAAATGGATAGTTTATATTGTTGCACTTCTCACACTTCCAACTCCCTTCTGGCATATCTGTTTTGAAATTATAGATCTGAGCATATAACTATTAAATCACAAAGCACAATAATGTTTAGAGGGGAAAAACTTACTAGAACTCTTCCCAGATTTAGCACCCTGCAAATATAAACAAATGCTGAGAAGTGAGCATACACTTTCTAATATAGATTAATTTTCAAGAAACAAAAAAGTACTCAAAATTAAAAAATTAAAAAAATTAAAAAAATTAAAAAAAAAAAAAAAAAATAATAATAATAATAATAATAATAATAGTAGCACCCAAAAAGCATAAAAACAAGAACTTTGAGCATCAGAAGCAAGCTTGCCAGCAGGAATATGCACATGAAATATGAAATATAAAAGCAGAAAGAGATATTGGCATGTTACAATCTGGTTAGGAAGTAACAAACCTGGGATCCAGGCTTGGGTGTATTGCATTTCCTCATATTACAAATTGTTCTAAACGAAAAATTGACATTTCCACATTTAGGACATGTCCAGTCATTATCACGGGTTCCATCTGGGGAAATCAAGAAATGGTAGATTTAACACAAATTTAGTTGGCACTTTGCAAAACTAAAAAAATATATGTATAATTGTGTCACATAGATCACCTTTATTTTGAGATTTATCCTCTGGGAAAAATCCTGGCCTTGGGCCCTGCAGAAAAAGTTCAAATTACTCACTCTTCCAAACTTATGTAGGATGTCATTCTACACTGTAATATGAGAAGGAAACCACTGCATACATGCATTAATGACAAAGAAGATAATGCATAAGAGTCCCTATATCTCTTTAAAGGAATTGTTAAATCTGAACTTACCATCGCAGAATGACCCATAGGCAACCCAAGGCCATATCTTTCCATTATTGGTGGAGGCACTCCATAAATTCCACCTTCAAGTAGAAAAAGAAAAAGAAAAAGAAAAAGAAAAGGTGAACACCATGTGATAAATGCAACAGCAGACTAATTTAGCTTTGTTTATTAAAGTTTTGAACTTGGAAATACACTAGTTGCTAAGTAGCCAACAGAAATAGAGTTACAATGTTTGAGAAAGAACTTCCTGTCAAAACATGATTGTCAAATTGCGATCATATTAGTTACCAACACAGAAGTAATCAGAGTTGATTACCAGTTCCAATCATAGTTCCACCGGAATACGGAGGTGGACCAGATAAATGCAAGTGTCGGAATGGACTGCCTCCAGAAAGACGACTGCCATAGTTGTAATGATATGCTGATTCTCCAGGAAAAGGAACATCATAAGGAGGCAAAGATGTTCCATTAAACACAGATGTACCATAAGGTGGTATACCCATATACATTGAAGATGGAGCAGCAGAAACTACATATGGAGCCGATGTTGAATAGGCTTGTGGTGGGTGCATGGGCTTAGCTAGAGATTTCTGGAAAAAGGCCAATGTTATGGTTTCAAAAATAACAATACATGCTGCTGGAGAACAGGTAGCAGTCACCACCACATTATACAAGATTATAAAGAACAAGATTTTCCACATATAAAGGTTATTATTTAACAGTTTATGGACTGTAAAGACAAACTCTAGTACTCTACTATAAAAATCATAACAATTTGAGAATGTCAATGCAACCACTAATTAACCTTGTACTTTTACAATCCTGCTGCAATGCATACAACGTCCTTGCAAGTAAAACAAGAGATGTCAAGTACTCATGCTACCTCCTTTCCCTTGTCATAGTTGATAGTTTGCTTCTTGAGGGTTAACCCAACTTAACTTTGACTAAATCTTTAGTATATATTTTTCAAAATTTCGAGACTTTGATTTTTGACAGACCATGTAGTATAATAATATTTAAATTTCATTTTCAAATGTTGAATTTAAAATTATTAAAAGTGGTATAAAATTTTAGTGAAATTGACCACCAAAACAATGTCTCACACATAAAATGTGATGGATCACGGATGGAGTAATTGAGTGTTAGCTGTTGGAATCTTACAGAGTTGTGATCGGCAGGCCTAGGTTGGGTACAGTTCCGCATATTGCAGGTAGTTCTAAATGAGAAATTAACATTGCCACAACTGGGGCATGTCCAATCATCTTCTCTACGCCCACCTACAAACATGACCAACTGAATGATTAATTACCACAGAAGCATGACACAACAAGCAAAGTCTGACAAGTTCTGACAGAACACTCCATATCACTATCCTTTCCCTATTGAATAGCAATACCCAGGGAATACCATGAATGGTTAGCACCAATGAATTATTACTTCCAAATTAGAGTTAATTTAGTGCAGAAGGTTATACCATCTGTTCGGGCTCTTTTAGCTGCTGAAGAATTCCTATTATCTACCTGCGAGCAATTTAAATGGAAAGAAAAACTATGTGAAAAAAAAAACATGATTGATGAAAATAAAAACATAAAACTAAAGCTGATCAATTTTATGTGTATAGATAAACACAGAACATACATTCCAAAAGCAAAAAACACATTCATCAATAAATTTCAATTGTGTTGATCGGAAATAAAAGGATAAGCGAAAAATACATTGAAAAATGATAAATTTGATATATAAAATCATAATATTGGATAATTGACCTGAGACATCTCAGAATTTAATTAGAGAAAATGGGCAAAGATCCTTTGGCTTCCCCTTCAACGTTGCAGTGCTGGAGACCTTCGAGGAGAGGCGATGCCGCTAAGGCCTACGGGTAGGGTTTTCACTCTAAAATTGATTTTGCTTTCCAAAACAAGTACTTGCACTAGCAGTCTAGCTGCCGTTGTTGGGCCTAAAACTTCAAGTTCTAATGTATTTTAATTGGGTGAATTAATTGTCAATTGTTATAAGTATGAAACCGTGTTCACTTTCATGGTTGACATTAAGGCTCTGTTTGGCAGAGCTTATTTAGGAGCTTATAGTTTATTTTAAACTATTAAAAAGTTATAAGCTCTGTTTGGTAATGTTCCCAAAATAAGTTTTTAGCTTAAAATAAGAGCTTATTTTGAAACGCTATCTAACTTTTTTTTCATTTTATCCTTATTATTTTAAAAAAATGACATAATTTACCATTCCCAATTAAAACCATTTTCTCTTCTCCTTTATCCGCAACCCACAAATATTATTATTATTATTATTATTATTATTATTATTATTATTATTATTATTATTATTATTATTACTATTATTATTATTATTATAATTATAATTATTATTATTATAATCATTATTATTATGAGATTTGCAACAATATTGTTACTTCATTATGATATGCTAGATCATGATTATGCTAATAGTTTTATTTCAAAATGTTAATTTTTTTAAAGACAAAATGTTAAATTTTAATATGTAAACAAACCAATTTAAATTTTATGAAGATGTCCTTTTTAGTCTTTTTACATTTATCAGCTTGCCAAACAATTTCAAGAGTGGGCGTTTCGAGTTTCGGTTCGATTTTTTCAGTTTCGGTTTCGATTTCGATTTAAAAAAATTAAACCATTCGATTTAACAATAGAGTTCGGTTCGGTTTCAATTCGGTTCGAGTTTTAATCGAACCGCACCGATCGGTACTTCGATTCGACCCGAACCGAAATGCCCAGCCCTAGTGGACACAGTTCCAAACAACGCCATTTTAATTTAGTGGAGTAACGGTGCCGTAAGTGGCACTGTTATCCTCCACCAATCATTTTTTTTTTAAATTTCACAATGCACTATTTGTCGTCATTTTCACTATTTTCGCGGGTTTCCTGTCGACCAAGCTTCCATTTCTTCTTCACACGAAAGCGTCTTCACCATTCTCTCTGTTGTCGTCAACACGGTCTCCATCGCCCATTCTCATAGTCAAAAGCTTCACCACCATTCTCGCCATTCTCACACTCCCTATATCGCCATCGTCTAAACTACTCTACTTCATCACCATACAGGTATTATGTATCTGAAATTCTTAAGCTAGGGTTTATAGAAGAGTTAATACCTCCAATGGTCCTCCGAGTATTACCGATTTACCAGCAGTGATCCTCCGAGTTTTAAATGACCTCCGATGGTGCTCCATGTTTTAAAAAACAACCACCCGTGATCCTTTTAGGACATCTCGTGGTCATTTTGAACTCGGATTTTTTTAAGAATTAGGATCACGGGTGGTTATTTTTTAAACATAGAGGACCATTAGAGGTCATTTAAAACTCAGAGAAACAGAACTGGTAAATCGCTAATACTCGGAGGACCATTGTATGTATTAACTCGTTTATAGAACATAAACATGTACATTCTGTATACATTTTGTGCTTTTGAAATAGGGTTTTTATAACATAAATCGTAATATTCTGTACATTCTCGAATGTTGTGAATATAGACTTCAAAGATTACAAACATAGAGTTCAAAAGGTTGTAAGTATAGAGTTCAAAAATTGTAAATATAGATTCGAAAATTGTGTGAATGTTCATAAATTTTGTGAATATAGAGTTATAAGATTATGAATATAGAGTTATAACATTATGAACATATAGTTTAAACATTATGAATATGGAACTCTGTAATTTGAATTTTGTGAATATAGAGTTATAAGATTATGAATATAGAGTTATAACATTATGAACATATAGTTCAAACATTATGAATATGAACTATGTAATTTGAATTTTGTGAATATAGAGTTATAAGATTATGAATATAGAGTTATAACATTATGAACATATAGTTCAAACATTATGAATATGAAACTCTGTAATTTGCACATTGTGAATATATAAATATATAATTATGAACATAGAGTTCAAAATTTTATAACTATATGTTCATAATTATGAATACAACACTGTGTAATTTGATGGATGTGTTATTTTTTTTTGGAGAGCATGGCTAGATTTATTTGGCATTCCACATCCTCCCTCTACTTAAGGATTATATTTCCATCAAACTCATTTTAATTTTGCCATTTGTTATACTTTGTTATACATAAAGTCATTCCTTTCTAACGTTTTCAATGGCAGTAATGGAATCTGATCCTACTATAAAAGAGATGGCAATTGAGATTAAACGAAAAAGAAAGCGAAGAAAAACAACACGAGCAATCTTGGATTCACAAGCTGTTGAGCCATCACAACCACAGCCTGAGCAGCAAAGCAATGAGGATATAAACAAAGAGATAGCAATGCAAGTTGAACAAAAAGGAAGCAAAGAAAAACAACACGAGCAATCTTGGATTCACAAGCTGCTGAACCATCTCAACCACAGCCTGAGCAGCAAAGCAGTGAGGATATTGATAAGTGTCAAAGATGCTATATTTTATAGGGTAATTTAGAGGCTAATTGTGCTATAATTAGAGTCCTTTAAGCCCAATTCATGCTTAGAATAACTTATTTTGATAAAATTTAGGATTGGGGACTAATTTCATTGCCTTTATAGAAAAATAGCAAAACATTGTCAATTTTAGGGCATTTCGGCGACAGTTTGGTAGATTGAGTATATCTTGAGCTAGAAGTGTCCAAATGAGGTGATTCCAGTGGCTATGGTTCGGCAACTTCAAGGGCTACAACTTTGGTGAAGGAAAGAAAGGAAAATTTGCAACAACGCAAGCCACAACGTGCATTGTAAAGTGTGTTGTTTGGAAGGCCGAAAGTACAACGAATTTCACAACGCGCGTTGTGAGGTTAGTTGTGATGCCAGCGCGGAAAATTCAGAATTTCAGCTTATTTAAAGACTTGTAAGGGGATCACTTGGGGAGACTACCTTTTTCCCATTCCTTTACTCTCATTTTTAGCACTCTTAGGTTAGGATAGATTACGATTATGTTAGATTTACATTTCCTTTGAAGATTCACACTCATTGTTCTACAATTTCTATTTGGATGCTTACATAATAGATTGAAGATTTGGGTAACATTTCTTCCTTGCTTATTATTTCAGATTTAATCTTGTGTTTGCTATCCTTGTAATGATGATGAGTGCTTAGATTGTTTGGATTTTGATTGGATTTGATTTGTTGATTATGTATTCATGCTTAGTATGGTTTATATGATGAGATTTGATGTATGGATTGTCCTTGAATGCCTATGTTGTAGAGGAGTGCATATTGATCTCTTTTCATTAAGGGTCCTAATGGTTAGATGAGTGTGAGAGTGGGAGTTTAGCAAGAGATTGCACTCTCCTTAGTCTTGTCATTGCAATCCCCTTCCTACGACCCGAGAAGGCGAGCTTAGGGGAGGAGACGGTAGACCGCCCGCCAAGTATTTGATAGAATGCCTCGCCTGACGTAGGGAACGAGAGACTAGGTCCTACGCGTCCTAGTAATGGTGCCCTAGGTCTCCCTTAGGATTGTCAATTCCATTTCACCATTTCTTGTCCCAAGTTGAAGGCCAATGAATGCATGATCACAAATCCTTTCTATCCAAATCCCCGTTTTACTTACTTGTTTGTTTTCCTTTATTTATTTGTCTCCCTTTCTTGCACACACATGCTGACTTACCTTCCTCTTGCAGCTAGTTCACTCTTATTGATGCATTGTGACAAAGGATTATCTTGCACTTTGCTTGCTCCGAATGACCATCCTTGAGTTCGACACTCCGGAGTTTCACGCTTCCGTTTACACTTACACACACTTTAATCCATCCCACTAAAACTACAATTATCAAAATGGCGTCGTTGCTGGGGATGGCAATAGGTGCTAAGTAGAGTACTATGACAATCTAGGAGTGTGTCAATAGGATTTCTAGGTTGCCCGTTTCATTTCTTGTTATCCATTGTGCTCATTTGTTTTACCTTGTGAATCCATCTTGTTGTTTATTTCATTATTCCATTGTTTTTGCCTGGTGATTCCAAATTTGTTTTTATTTCATTTGCACATTGTGTGCTTATTTCTTTTCTTATTGATATTTGAAATTGAAATTTCATATTGAGCTAACTTGCAATTACTTTTAGTTGCACAATTTTTTTTTTCTCTTGTCTTGTGTTTTAATGCTAGATTAATCTTTGGAAAATGAACTCTCAAAGTTATGATTTCCATGATGAATCCTTCAAGTACCAACCTTGCCATTATCCCTACCAAACACATACCCCACTACCACCCCAACCATATAATTACTCTTACATTTTCCACCATCAAAACCACTATTACACTCCATCACCACAAGAACCATATTCTCAAAATGCCCACTCCTATCATTCTCAATTTTGTCCATCGAACCATTTTGAGAAAAATGAAGATTATTTCTCACAAAAAGGCCAAAATGATTTCCAATCTTATATCTCTTGTCCAAACCAAGCATACTCTCCAAATTCTTACAACCAATACCCACCCACACCATATTATTGTGAAGAAAGGAACCCATCCTATTCTAATTACCTTTCCTATTGGGAAGAACCATCAATCTCAACCCCTCCAAATGACAATTTTGATCAAGAATGTGAGCACCTTGAGAGGCAAAGCCAACGTTTCACATATGAAGCCATAGAGGGCACACACTCTCGAGGGCACCATAAAAGGAGAAATGGAGAAAGGGTTCATCCAACCATTGAAGAAGGTGGCGGAATCTCTTATCTTCACGTTGAAGGAGCTCACTAAGGACTTGGAGATGGAGGCCCGAGCCAATGCGTTGAGGAGTAATGATACACTCTCGGAACCAAAGAAAGCTGAGATTGATCCTTTGCTAGAAGACACCCTCGTACTTGAGGAGGTTCCAAGTCGCGAATTGGAAGATCAAGCAAGGGTGGATGAAACTAGTGAATGTAGTGAAGACATCGAGGTGGTGTGGGAGGATGAAAGACCCGATGATGACACTATTTGTGGTAACAATTCTAACCCTAATTGTGTCATGATATGTGCAAATTCTTGTGCTCAATTGTGTGATGAAAATATTTCATTGCATGCTAGTAGAGATGACTCACGTGAACCATATGATGATATTGCCAATGTTTGTGATAATGTTTGCTTTAATTCTAGGGAGGATGATTCCATTGATAGTAGGTCTTTCTATTCTTGTGAGTCATTTGCTAATTGTGATGATGAGGGGTGTGTAGGTAAAATTGAAGAGGGTAGTTTGAAAATGTCTAATGTTGTCACTTTTGGCAACATTACCTATGTTGGGGGGATAGACTTTTATGTTGAAAAGATTGGAAAAGAGGGGGGTAAAAGGGAGGAAATGATTAGGGAGAAAGATGAGAGAAAAGAAGAGAAGGATGAGTACCTAAATGCTATACTCGTTGTGTTTCACTTTGGTAAAATGTTTGAAGGGGTTTTGCATTTCATTTGCTTGCATATCTTCGAGAGGACACTTAGGGGCATTTCTCATTTCTAAGGTGGATGAGACACATGGTCCCGTCCCAATTTGTGTGTGTTTTCAAGTGTAACACACGTTTTCGTCTAGCCAAAGACGGGAAATGTGGCGCTTCTTCGGAGGCAACCCAAGTAATAAGCGTTTTACTTTCAATTTGCATCTTTCTTTATGTTTGTAGTTGCTTTGTAGGATTATTTCGGTGGGTGAGGGGTTCAAGGTTTTGTTTTCAACTTTGGACACCGATTGCCTACGCTTTTGTTTGGTTTTGTTTTGGAGTTTATGGCAGTGATTCAATGATGCTGTTTGGAATGAGGGTGTGGCTTGCGCGGACAAGGTTCTCTCTTTAGCTCAAAGTTTTTGGTTTGGGTGGCGCAAGGTGCATGAGTGTGAGAGTGAAGGTGTGGGGATAGTCACAACGGTGGCAAAGGCCTGATGTGGGACGTCGTAAATTGAATGTTGATGCCGCGTACGATGGTCGATGGAGGCAGTGGTAGATCTGGCTTTGGTTGGGTATTACGGAATTCTAATGGGGAATTTTTTGCGGCCATGACAATTCTGGGAGTTGTGGTAAGAGATGCCCGTTCGACGGAAGCCTTGGGAATTCGGGAGGTATTGAGCTGGCTGAAGGACATGCAGGTGACGGCGGTAGACGTTGAGATGTATGCAAAAGTGGTTTATGATGCGTTGCGCAGGGATGTAGGGGAGTCATATTTCGAACTTATTGTCGAAGATATTAAAGTTATTGTAGAGTCTATAGAGGCTGAAGGACATGCAGGTGACGGCGGTAGATGTTGAGATGGATGCAAAAGTGGTTTATGATGCGTTGCGCAGGGATGAAGAGGAGTCCTATTTCGACCTTATTGTCGAAGATATTAAAGTTATTGTAGAGTCTATATATGGTTTGCATTTCTATTTTGTTAAACGATCAGCAAACCAGGTTACCCATTTACTAGCTAGGGAGTCTAGTCCTGATCGTGTGTTTTGATTTGATGTTCCTCCTTTGGTCATTGTAAGCACGTTGAATTATGTTAGTGAAAGTTAGTTTTGTTTGTCTTAAAAAAAATAATAAAATATTTTATTTAAATTGAAATTTTATAATTATAAATTTATTTTAATTTTGACATGTTTAATTTAAATATAATAAATATAATTATTGTAATTATAAATTTTTATAATGATAATAAATATAAAATAATAATTAAAATATAGTGAAGTAAAATTGTGGGTTCACAAAAAATTGAAAAAAATATTAATTTAAAATTAATGGGAGAATGATTTTTGTGATTGAGATAATGGATGATAAGGTGGATGCTAGGATCCACCGAAAACTGGAGAAAAAACCTCAACCGATCCGGAGTACTAGTTAAAATATAAAATTACAACTATGTAAGATTATTATATTAAAATGGGAAAGAACAAACAAACAAAACAAAATTAGTTCCCTAACTACTTCGATTAAGGCTCCGTTTGGAAAGCAGGAAAATGACTTCTGAAAAATTGTTTGTGGAAAATGAGTCATTTTTCAGAATACATTTTCCTTTCTGGTGTTTGGCTGCACAATAGAAAACTGTCTTTGTTTGTTTAGTTCATTTTCAGAAAATGAACAGGAAAATGAATAGAATTGTATACTTCAACATTTTAATTGTTTAATACTTTTGATAAAATCCTTCTGTGAATAGCATTCATTAAGCCTTGTGAATATATATATATATATATATATATATATATATATATATATATATATATATATATAATATTAACATTTTAGAAAATGTAAGGGGTGTTTTTTTAAAATTTTAAATAGAAAAAAATTAATATTAATTGTAGACTTTATTTATTTTTTAGAACTTTGAATTAAAAAAAAAAAAAAAAAAAAAAAAAAAAAAAAAAAAAAAGCCTGCTGGTTGGATTAGGGCCTGCCAACTCGCATGGGGCGGGCTATGATTGCATGGACCCTAATTCCCAGGTTTAGTAGGCCGGACCGCAAAAGCCCGCTAGAAATTAGGTCCAACAAATTTTGCATGTGAATCCCTCGGAAAATGACTTTCCAAAAAAACAAATGGGAAGTCATTTTCCCCCAAATCATACCTTTTTTTTTTTTTTTTTTTTGACTAAGGCATTATTTTCTATTTACCTCATTTTCTCCCTCTTGTCAAACACGGAAACCCGAAAAACTTTTTGCAGAAGTCATTTTTCAAATTTCCAAACGCATCTTAAGTGGAAAACCAAAGTCAATCAACTTGAAAATTACATAAAGATTACATTCCAGAGGTAAATATTTTAAAAATATAAGTATGGTGTTCTAAGCCAGCATAGAAATTATATTTATCGTAACTACATACATTTAAAACAATTTCCAAAATGTGAAATAGAAGATGGCTACCGCAACCGGTAAGTGTCCAGCAAGCTGCAGGGGATTATGCTTGAAGGCATTGGAGGGAGCAGGGCCTGCTCCGACGCCGGGAGTAGTGGAAGCAGAATTAGCAGAAGTGTTGGTGAAGAAAGCGATGTCGGGAGAGTTTGCCGGAAGTTTCAACAGCTCTGTTCATTGTATATATCAATAATCAATCAATAGAATCACATGTGTGTGAGATCATGTCACCTATGAAGATCAAAATATAATATTTATAAGAATTAATTTCACTTTTGGTCCCACAACTTTTGATGTTCTATCACTTTTGGTGCACAACTTTAAATTTTTTTAATTTTGGTGCATAACTTTGTTATTTTTATCAATTTTGGTCCTTTCGGCCAAATTGACAGCTAAATGTTGCTGGATTTTATATTGTTAGGGGTAAAATCGCCATCCCAAGGAAACATCTTCAGTATCTAAACAAAATCACCGTAAAATCATATCTATAGGTGTTTGATGATGAGAATAATGGGGAAGATGGGCAGAAACCAGACAGATCTATGGGATTTATAGTTTCGACCATTGGAAAACTCTTCTTTTCCTCTTAATATGATTTTTCTTTTGTTTAAATATTGAAGATCTTTCCATGTGATGACGATTTTGCCCCTAAAATATAAAATCCGGAAATATTTTACCGTCAATTTGGCTGGAAGGACCAAAACTGATAAAAATAACAAAGTTAGGCACCAATATTGAAAAAATTTAAAGTTGTGCACCAAAAGTGATAAGAACTCAAAAGTCGTGGGACCAAAAGTGAAATTAATTCTATTTTTAGACATCACATACGAAATACTAACTAGTATTTCGTATGTGATGTCTAAAAATATATGTCCAATATTAATATTTAATGTTAAAATTTTAGTTATGTTAAAATATTTTTTTAAATAATTGTGTGTGTGTGTGTATATATATATATATATATATATATATATATATATATATATATATATATATATATATATATATATATATATATATATATATATATATAGTTACACTCTCGTGCGAATGGATTGCCCAGGAGCGAAATAGGATTGACGGCTGTCCGTCCACGTGTCCAGATCTAATTGATGAGAAATACTGATTTTTAAAAAATGTGCGGTGGCATTTTCATAAATAATTGGACATCGAAGTGCAAGTAAGATGTATTACAACTGCAAGTAGCAGTTTCATATAGTGCACCTAAGTGCAAGTAAAATATATTACAAGTGCATGTAAAATGTATTATAGGTGCAAGTAAAATTTACACTGATCATTAAAACTAAGTGCACATGACGTTATAACTAGGTGCACAAATAGTTATAAGTAATTGCACTTAGGTACATGAATGTTTACGGAGGATTTTAGGGGTACTAACTATCCATTGAACTACTCGCAAGAACAAAAGCGATGCCAAACAGAACGAACTCAGATTAATGAATGTTAACATGGCAAAATTACATGCACTTATAGGTGAAAGTAGGTACACATGTAAATGATTTTACCCGCAATTTTTTACTTGCAAAGGTGCATCAATTACTTGCACATATAACACATTTACATGCACCAAAGTTCGAGTTATTTACAAAAATGTCACTGCGTCGTTTTTTTAAAATTACATCTGATTCGTTGATCTAGACACGTGAATGACGTTGATCTATTCGTATTTCCTTCCTGGACACTTATTTACACAGGAGTGCAACCCATATATATATATATATATATATATATATATATATATATATATATATATATATATATATATATATATATATATATATAGCATGCCAAACAAAGCCTATACAGTAAGAGGTATTGAAGTAACACTTGAAGAACTTTCTGAATATATTGAATTAAAAATTGAGTATCTTTAAAAGTTAAGAAAAAAAAAAAAAAAACTAACAGTAGAATAAATAAGTGAAGAACTAAAAATTAAAATGTAATAAAAAATCCAAAGTGAAAAGAAAAAAAAACAAAACAAAAAAACTTCAACAAATTAAAATATTTTAGACTAAATGGAAATTGGAGAAAATTATCTACTATGAAAAAGCTTGGATGCATATATGTGTGCAGTGTGTAAATACACTTTATTAATATCAAATTTAATTAATTAATAATAATAATAATAATAATAATAATAATAATAATAATAATAATAAAAGATTTGATCCAATTCAATCCAGAAAATTACCATGATTTATAGTCTAAGTAACCACTTATAGTATTTCAACTTTCAAAATTTAATTAGTTCTTATTCTCTTAGAAAAACCACGATTAACTGGTTAAAATCTGATAGTTAAAGGACTATGACTGATTAATTTGGACTATGAACAGTAACAATTAAAAAATGAAAAGATCGATCAATTTAAAAGTTTAATACTAAATATGACAAAATTACCACGAGTAATTCTACATAGATTTTCAATTCGTACTCCCTATGATATGACATGTCTTAAATGCTTAATTTAATAGAGAGGCATGATGTTTATCTATTCATTTTTTTCTCCCTCCAATCAAATGTAAATATAAGTGGAAGTAGAATTTTGGGGTCGATGAAGTATTTTTCAATTACGACACTAGCTCTTAAATTAAACTTAAACTTACTCACTTTCAAAAAAAAAAAAACTTAAACTTACTCGGACAGGTAGTGACGTTGACGTCGTTGATCTTGCAAGCAGAAGGGAGCTGAAGCAATCGAGCTTCCTGAATACCGGAGCTCTGTATCTGAGTGTTAGATCCATTGTGCACCTGCTCTATCATATAGCAAAAGCAAAGCGGGCGTTCACTCGCCTCGATGCTCGACGCCGACTCGCAGCACTCCTTCCCTGGCGTCGCCGCCTTCCCAGTAGCGAAGCTCAGGCACGCCACCACCTTCTGGATGTCTTTCCCGCACCTGTCCTGCAAGTCCTCGGCTCCCTTTACCAAACCGCCGCTCACAATCAACATTACTAATAAACAGTAGTAGAAGATTGTTTGTAGCCTCATCGTCATTTTCTTCAATTCAATTATTCGTTTCCTTGATGAGAGAATATATGGAGATTGTATGTAGTTAGTTGGGAGTTGTTGTAATTGTAATGAATGGAGTAAGGTGGTTGGGGATATATTGGTTTGGGAATTGGGACTTGACTAGTCAATGAAGGGGGATTATGAATTTATGATTAGATTGAAGTATTATTGAACACGCGGCGCTAGTGCGAATGACAGCTGCGTGTGCACAAGTGAGGTATTTATAATGCACAGAATTCATGTCCATTATATAGTGTTTATGTGTATGTGTATTATGAAAATGATGTGTATTATGAAAATGATGTGTATTATGAAAACTAATTTTGTGCATTATGAACATGAATTCTGTGCATTATAAATATGAATTCTGTGTATATTGTGAATCCTGGTCCACGATATATCGATTGGTATTTGTTGGGGTGTGTTTAAAGATAATTGAATTGAAAATAATCAAATATTATTAAAAAAAAAAAACAAATTGCAATTTTCATCCTTATATTTTTAGTAATTTTCAACTTCAACAATCAAAGTCCTATCATCGGGGTTCAATTCTGAGCAAAAATTTAATAATTATATTATTTATCAAATTTAAATAATCATATTTAATTATTACTATTATTCTGCATTCACTTGTAGTATATCGGTCTACTAGTATAGTACACGTGCGATGCACGGATAATAACATATATTTAATAATTATATTATTTATCAAATTTAAATAATGTAAATAATACTCAAAATATTATATAATATTCTAACAATATATTATTATAATAAAGTATGTATAGTACCTAATATCAAATTTTGCTTTATATATAATGACTTAGTGTTGGGATTAAATAAATAAATAAATAAAGGGATCATATACCCATCACTTCTCAAACTACAAAAATACTATGGGCATACAAAGAGAATTATACTTAAAAAATCACAAAGATTGAACCTAATTTGTGGGTATTTATAAGCAAGCTAAGAGATATCTAACAACTAGAGTGCAAAGTGACTTTGCAAGACATAAATTTTGAATTTGAAAATTTTAAATAAATGTAGTTAGCACAACAAATAATGTATTTGGCTGCACAGAAGTATTAGAATTTGCATATACTAAACTATTACACTAAATATAATGCAATATTAGTAAGCGCAAGCTATGTGTATTGTTTAAGGTGTCCAAGATAATATATATTTTTAGTAAATGTAGGCCATGTGTGTTGCTTCCATGGTGGATCCCGGTTCAAAACGACATCGTTTTATATCAAATTTCAATGAGTACATCATATTTAACAACATTATCATAGACTATGTTCATAATATTTGTTCTATATGTCCCTTTAGTGTCCATAAGCACAAAACTAAATATACATTATATGCATTTTCATTCATCTATAGTTGGTTCGTAATATTCATTCTATATGTTCATAAAAATAAAGCTTAATGTTCATAGATAGTATATTATGAACGCATGGCTCTTGTGGTCTTCTAGCTAGCACTAGGCGTGATACCTAGTCTCTTAAGCCAATACAATTCACTTAGATATTTTATCGAGCACCTTGCCTATGTCCCTTCCCGGGCCTTGCACTCTCGGATCGAAGGGTGGGGAATGCGGAAACAAAGACTCCGAGAAGTTATGATCTCTCATCAACTCCTCTCTCTCAAACACCCTCACTCAATGTGGCCATCGAGGAGCAACAAAGGTATTGTCCACAACAATAGCATTATTCACTAATCACGCATCAAATCACCATACAAGGAATGATCCTAATGCATAATCATAAAACACATTTCCAACTTCAAAGGATTATTAGCCACACATGATCAAATAGGGAGATGCAATAGAAGAGTTCAAGTTAGCACAATCAATTCAATCAAGCAACAAAATAGAAATTAAATGAGACAATAGAGATTGTCACCACCAATGAATCTTCAATTACATCTCTTCTCTTCAATTTGATGTGGAATCCTTCAAAGATCTCTAGGAAATCTAGAACCCTAGCTAGTCTAAGAGTTTTCTCTCTCTAAAGCATTACAAGATGAAAGAAAAATGAATGTAGATATGAAAATGGAATTTGTCTCTCCAAAAACTCGCCAATCTCCCTCTTTTAAATGAAAAAAAGGTTGGCAAAAAAGATTCATTCGGCCCCCTATTCACGTTGCACTCACGCGCGTGACATCGGCGTGAATGGGCCTATTCACGCCGTTGCCAATTGCGTGACGCCAGCGTGAATGGGGATCCTGACGTGTGCGTGGCCAAAATTGACTACATAGATATCCAAATCAGCCTTTGTGATCTTCATTGAAGTTGTAGTCCTTTGAATTTCCGTTCCAATGCAACTTGAATCACCTCATTTGGACATTCCTAGCTCTAGATGTGCTAAAATCACCAAACTGTCGCTGAAATGTCCTAAAAATGTCAATATTTTGCTATTTTATACAAGTGTAACCATAATTGGTGCGTGTTCCTAACTTTGATCAAAATAAGCTATTATAAGTCCATAATAGACTTAAAGGACTCTAATTATAGCAAAATATGACTCCCAAATACCCCATAAAAGTGTCACATTTTAACACTTATCAATGTACTTTGTTCTGTTCTTAAGGTGCGTGGTTTATGTACTTAAGGTGAGTGATTTGTGTTCTTAATGTGCTTTGTTTGTGTGCTTAAGGTGCATGGTGATTTGTGTATTTAAGGTACACCATTTTAATACTTAAGGTGCGCCCAACCGCACGGGAAACCATTCCTGCACCTGAACCCTTCCACACACATACACATATATATATCTATCTATCTATCTATCTTACATACATACATAGTTGGGTTCTGGTGAGAACATGTGCTTAGGTGAGAACATGAGAACACATTAAATGTAATAGGGGTGACGCAAAGATTTGAACTCATGACCTTTAGCATGCCTCTGAAACCAAATTAAAATATATGTTCCATCTCAACTAAAAGTCTAAGTTGATAGTTAGATTGCACATTTATGTTTATATATATTATATTATATGCTCAACATCATGGACAGAGCCAAAGGGGGGGCAGCTGCTCTCCCCCCCCCCCCCTCACCCCACCCCCACCTCATATATAATCTTTGTATGTATATATGTATATATAGTACATGTTTGAGTATTAGTATATAAAAACTGTTAATTATCATAAAAAATGTGTTAGATTAGTAGGTAGAGAGCATGTGTTTGGTTATACTAAAGGTCAAAGGTTCAAATCTTATGGGTGTCAATATAATTTTACAGTTTTTTAATAGCTTTTTTAATATTTAATACACACACACATACATATATTCAAATTATTTTATCAAATTAATTATGTTTCATATTTTGTTATGAATATTTTTATAAAGTTTCGATGTGTTTTATTTTTTGCTCATATCCAATAATATTTACACCTATATTTTTAGGTAATTTATTTATTTATTTTTTGAATATCTCTTTTATTTTAATGTTTCGCCTTTACTGGAAAAAATTTCTGAATCCGTCCCTATTTCGCCCCCCACTCCCCCCTCAAACAGAATTCCTAGCTCCGTCCCTGCTCAACATGTTTGGTTCATGGAATGATCAGGAATGGAATAACATTCCCATAGACCTATTACATTTTTGTTTTGATAATTTTTTCTTGGGAATAACATTATATTCTTAGGAATGAGTTATTTCCTTTGTAGGGGAATAGTCATTCTTAGAAGGTAACTATTTAAACATGACTCCTAACTGTTACTTGTTAACTATTTAAATCATTTTGACTCTTTGATTATTTCGCGTTTAACCAATAGTGTTAAAAGAAAAATAAAACCAAAAAAAAATATTACTTAGTAAGACTTATTTACTTAAATTATAAGATTAATTGCTGTTTTAAATTTTGAACAATATGTGGTAGAAAAAGCTGATCCAATTAAAAAGGATAATGTCATGACCTTGTGGTCTAGTGACATTAAGGTTGCACTCTCATATGAGAGGTTGTTGGTTTAAGTCTCAGTCGAAGTGGTATTAATCTTTTGTATTTCAGTAGGTTAAGAAAATAGTTATGAACAGATACTAATTGTAACAGAGTCAGTAACACTCAAAAAAATTAAAAAGGCTAACATTTCATTTTTTTAACGAAAATAAAAGTTGTGGAATTAAATAAGATGCCTTAAATAGGGTTATTCCATCCTTAATCAATTATTTGAAATGGCTCGGAACAAACCAAACCTCTTGTCTTTATCTCGTTTGGAAAATTCAGCCAATTTTTGTTTCAATATTATCTTCTTAAAAAAAAAAAAAACATAGAAATCTGTCACACCCAGAGCCGGCCCTTTACTGAGAAAGAAAAGAGGATCAGATTCAGAATCACAAGTTGAGCAGTTCAGACATATTCTGGTTTTATTTTTGTCAGTAAATTTATGGGTTGTTTCACTATCTTTTGTTAAAAATTGTGTTTTTTTTTTTTTTTTTTTAATGCTACTGACTCTATTATAATGTTGTATGTTCATAACTACTTTTTCAACCTATTGATACAAAAAAATCAATGCCGCCTTCACTAAGGCTCAAAGCTCCAACCTCTCATATGGGAAATTGGGAGTGCAACTTTAGTGCCATTAGACCACAAGGTCTTGGCAATTGGGCGTTTTATTATTATTTTTATTATTTTATTTCAAGAAAACAGAAAAGGGTAGAGAGAAGAGTTGTTTTCGCTAGGCAGCTGTATTGAGAAGGCTAAAGAAACTACAATTGCTATTAAAAGCTCTGGATTTTTTTCAGTTACGACAGCTCAAAGTTTGAAAGCAAAGAAGCCTCCAAGGCTCCAACATTGAAATCAAAGAAGCATGCTACTTTCAAGGGTAAGAAATATCAATCATTAAGGTCGATACAACTTGTGTGGACCATATTTTGTCTATAAAATAATGTATATTCGGTACAAAAATAATATACATTATATTCAGGAAATGTACATTATTTTTGTTTTGAGTGTACATTATATTGTATAATATACATTCAGTACAAAAATAATGTATATTTAGTATATTAAAGATATACTTTTTGTTATAGTTCACATAATATTGTGTGGACCATGGTTCACACAATAATTGTCAAGAAATATTGTACACGTGCTAGCTAAAC